TTCGTTTTCGCTTCGGGGCCGAATAGTGGACCTATTGACTATTCGGAATTCAGCCGAATAGTTGCGGCCGGGCCGAATACGAATAATTGTTACCTTACACCCGCTTCTGCATACACGGCCTTTATACTGTCAAAATGGAACAATTGGTTTTGTTGAAAGCTAATGCAACTTTCATGGATTAACTAAGCTGTCAGTGACAATTTTCAAGTTTAGTTATTTGTTACTATACTTAGGATTCTTTCCTTCCTAGTTATTAGTTACCATAGACTGATTAAAGGATTCAAAACATAAAATATTTTTTTAATGTTTTCTATTCTGTTCGAATGCTAACCAGACGGGGAAAAAATATAAACTCCGGTCACATCCAAGTCGATAATTTGAAAATCAAACGAACGGAAACATATCAGTACTTGGGTGCAAACTTCAACTGCTCCAACATGCTGAGAGAAGAAATACAATCTAGAATACAACATCTGCTAAAATATATAAAACGTCGATAAGACCAGTCGTTTTATATCGCTCTGCAACTTGGAGCAGAAATAAAAGATATGAGGCCTTATTACAGGTTTTCGAAAACAGTCTTACGACAAATTTTTGGACCCATCAAAAATGCAAACAGCGGGGAATGAAGAGTTAGAAGCAACAACGTAACAAATAATATGTTTAAATCACCATTGATCACTGGCGTCATGAGATCTAACAGACTAAAATGGTTGGGGCATATTGAAAGCATGTCAGACGACAGAGAAGTAAAACTGTATACACCTGAGAGAGAAATGGGCGTAGACCACGAGGCAGAAAAAAAAATAAGTTCGAGAGATAATGTCCAGCCAGATCTGCAAACAACTGGTGTCACAAATTGTGAAGAGAAGGCCAGCCAGAGGGATGAATAGAGACGAGTGATATCTGCAGCAGTAAACCTAAATGGCTCAGAATACTAAAGAAGAAGATGACTATTCTGTGCTTCTTTATATGAAGTAAAAGTTCAGCGTACATTTGACATTATGAATGTGTGTGTGTGTGTGTGTGTGTGTGTGTGTGTGTGTGTGTTTAGATATATTTTTTATACTTTACACTATTCGTATTCGTATTCGTATTCTGCCGAATAGTTGGTCCCGTTATTCGTATTCGGCCGAATAGTGAAAATCACACAGTGCCTAATTGGTTGTGTTCTTAGGGCACTTGTTTCCATAGCTTGGCGCACATGCCATTTGGAGGTGACAGGTTCGATTCCCGATAGGGTAAATATAGCTTTAGATTTTAATTTTGTCTTCCAGAACGTCTAGAAAGCAAGTGCGACAATGTTTTCTATTTGTTTGATAGGCCCACTTTAAAACATTACATCAGAAACTGTTTATATAGTTAGGCTATTCGTTAGCAAGATATCTCTCCGCTAATAAACATACGATGGTTTTAGAAAGGGAACCTCAAGGTTACCAAAACCAGTTGATTTTCCAGACTATTCTAACTATAAGTAATATCCTATCCCCTGACAAACATGTGATGGTTCTAGAAAAAATCCCGTTACAATCCCTGTAGTAACCTGTTCTTATGTGAAATATATCAGTCAGTTTTCTGTCACGAGGTGGACAATATTATGTCTTCGTATGCTGCCTTTGATATGTAAGTATTTTTCTGTGGATCCCATAGTGAATAGTGTCTCATCAATTTCCAGAGAGATACCCTATCAATAAGTAGAAGGTCTTTTCGTAGTCCACAAATCCAATATAAAGTGTTGAGTTAAACAATGCTTTTCTTTATTATTATGCGTAACGTAACTATCTGGGCAGTACAAGATCAGTTTGGACGCTAAAAGACTAGATTTTCATAATATTATTTGTTGTTTTCTTGCTCAACTTGGAGAGAAGTAATTCCACAAGTTAAAACGGCGTGGCCTCCTCATGTAAACTGCCGATGAGCGGGAAATTCTGGTAGTTTGTTTACTTCGGGACTTCGGGATTTCTCAAGAACTTGAGTTTAGCGCGTACATCCGTTTTACGGACATGGCTTATTTATATGTAGACTGTTGGTCCCTTACCTCTTAGGCAGACGCATTCATACTCCGATGAAAACACGCCTGGTTAATCGAGTTTTATATGTTTGTTAAGCAGCAGTTTTTATCAAGCCCCCTCCCCCTTTTTTATCAATGGGGCCTTGAAACCCAGATGGGCAGCCAATTGTAACTAAGTTCAGAGAGAGAGAGAGAGAGAGAGAGAGAGAGAGAGAGAGAGAGAGAAAGAGAGAGAGGGTGAGAAAGAGAGTGAAAGAGAGAGAGAGAGAGAGAGAGAGAGAGAGAGAGAGAGAGAGAGAGAGAGAGAGAAAATGCTGGACAACTTTATATCATGACATGGAAGGTAATCTGTGTCAGAATGGATTGAAAGTATACGAGACAGAAGGTTGTCGATCGACATGATTATCAACGCCACACGGCATAGACTACAAGAAAATACACTTTATACATTTATAACGGCATATAGCGAATATGTTGCAACACTGTTAGTAGCATGTCGTGTTTGTTGTCAACAGGGTTTGAACTTGCTTTCAAGATAGGGTATTGATTTGTCTGCTCCGTACATTCTAATCCTCCCCAACAGCTGGGCTATAAATTCGACGTACACAACTTTCAGTCGAAGAAAGATGTGTTTTGTGATAATGGCCGTGTTAAGATCTCGTTCTAAAAAGGTTCTGGTTTTGCTAGCTGTTTTTCTGACTATGGTTTTCATGAAGGGCCAGTTGTTCGATGACCAGAGTGACAGCAACAATAAACGAAACAGCGTTTTTGGCAAGTTTGCTTTCTTCATGGTAAGTGCACGGGTATTGTTTTCGTTTTTTTTTTATATAGAATATTGGTCTACCCCTATATACCCAATATGCACGAAGACGTGGGACAAGATTCTTCATTTATTACAGTCAATCATTAATGTATAGAATAGAAAGCTGCGCTGACATGTTTAGTATGCTCGCTATGTATACCGGGGTGGGAGGGGAGGGAGTGGGGGGGGGGGGTGAACCCATAAGTCCATAAGTCCTTACCCTGACTATGAAAAAGAAACCGAAAACAATTGAAAGTTGTCACGTTTCTCGCTCATTATATTGTAACAATGACAATCTAGATGTTGTGAGGACCCTCTGGGAGCGAGTGAACAGTGCGGATGCACTGATAGATCATTACTGTGTGAGAAGTATAGCGCTGCGAGAAGCTACCAGGGGATCTGGCTGACTCGAGGGAAAGGTGAGACAGATATACTGTCAGACAGTTATTGGTGCCCTTAGAGTGCTTTGATGTCAGTTCCTAATTCAACATTCAAAATATTTTGTAGCAAACTGTGAGAAGTTTTCAGCTGATCTTTTCACACCATTTATTGTGTTATGGTGCAAATACATCCTGCTGACCGGAAACGAGGATTTTCCAGTCAATTACGAGAATAATTCAACTTGAAGTAGAAGTGGAAATCACACTAGGGGTGCCCCCAGGGACCCAACTCCTGCCGTTCATATATGGTAGTGAAAAGGGTGTGGTCTCTTGAGGTCTAGTGCTAATTTAAAAGCATAATATTAATAACTATATTGCGCTGAATCGTAAATAACATTACATCAGAAAATGTGTAATTATATATTTTAATTCAATATAAAATGTACAATTACATACATTTGAAGAGAATTTATATGCATCGTTAGAGCCTCCTTTTGTGTTTATTAATGGAAGGGAGGAGGGGGCACGCACAGTCTATTTTTTAGGGGGTGGGGGAGGGGGCACAATTAGTCTCTACCCCCAGTTTTCGGCTTCCCTGCTTTCTGCCTCCTGTATTGTGTACAAAAAAGCCCTAACACCTGGCAAATAAACAGTAATAACTTTTTCACGTTCATATTAAACTTTGTTAAAAAAGGTCTCTTGTACCTTCCCCCTTCTCCCCCCCCCCCAACTTGAATAAATTTCCTTTGGAGGCTTTCTGTTTGGGACAAAATAACTGACTACTACTATTACTATTACTATTGCTATTACTACTACTTAAACAGCTGGCCCAGGGCCAAATAAACATTGCCTATGTCTTCCCACCAAACCATCTAGTACAGGTTAAACAGAAACAGTGGAGGCAGTCGAGCAAACTACGGCGTGCCAGAAGTGGACGAGCTCATCGACTGGTACCTGACGAAGCAACATATATTTGAATCGCGGTACACTCTGCTGGCAAACGAGCCGTACGCCGAGTTCCTACTGAAGCTAGATAGAAACAGACCTATAGGTGACGGTTTGAAGATGGACCTGCCTGAGAATGGGTAAGACATCTCCGTTTGGCTATTAGGTTACCATCAGATTATCTTTGGGTTCCAGCTTCATAGCAAACTTGTCGTCACCCCCTTGTAGCTTCGTTCTTGTGCAAGTGAAAACACCTACAATGCTCATCAGTGTCCTATGTAAAAAGTGACACAGACATCAGTCAAGACAAATTCCAACAGCTCGCACACGTATACAAATCACATGGCCGCTGACAAATGTGCCAACGCAAGCAGTCTGTCACTAGAATTGCAGTTGAACAGGCTCCAGCAAAAACTCACCCACGTACGAGCTAGTTTATCTTTATTAAAGTCAGGAATTCTAAAGAGCAAATTACTTTCAGGTGACAATTGTTTTTTCAGCCCCCGTTGAAGTAGTACACGCGAACATTACTTACTCAAAGAAAGAAGTAAATGGCTTATTTTAACACTTGTTGTAAATCGGAAATATGATGTTAGAATTATATTTTATTGACCACTCAGCGGCACTCGTTGGGCTGACTTTACTTCTCAGGACATTACCTTGTAGCCATTTAGGGCTGGGTCGACCTGGGGGGGGGGGCGGGGGGGGGGGCAAGGTCAGTTAGAGGAAAAAACACAGCACGACTTGATGCCATTTAGGTAGCAGTAAATAAACTGTCTCCACACATGACCATTTATTAGGTAACAGCTAATGAATTATCTCCACACATGACCATCTATTAGCTAACAGTTAATGAACTGTCTCCACACATGACCATCTATTAGCTAACAGTTAATGAACTGTCTCCACACATGACCATCTATTAGCTAACAGTTAATGAACTGTCCCCACACGACTTTTTATTAGCTATCAGTTAAAGAATTGTCTCCACACATGACAATTTATTAGGTAACAGTTAATAAACTGTCTCCATTTATGACCATTTTTTAGGTAACAGTTAAGGAAGTGTCTCCACACATGACCATTTGTTGGGTAACAGTTAATAAATTGTCTGCATACATGACCATTGATTAGGTACAAGTTAATGAACTATCTCCACACATGACCAGTATTTAGGTAAAGTTAATAAATTGTCTCCACACACTACCATTAAATAGCTAACAGTTAATGGATTGTCTCCACACACTACCATTAAATAGCTAACAGTTAATGGATTGTCTCCACACACTACCATTAAATAGCTAACAGTCAATGGATTGTCTCCACACACTACCATTAAATAGCTAACAGTTAATGGATTGTCTCCACACACCACCATTAAATAGCTAACAGTTAATGGATTGTCTCCACACACTACCATAAATAGCTAACAGTCAATGGATTGTCTCCACACACTACCATAAATAGCTAACAGTTAATGGATTGTCTCCACACACTACCATAAATAGCTAACAGTCAATGGATTGTCTCCACACACTACCATTAAATAGCTAACAGTCAATGGATTGTCTCCACACACTACCATTAAATAGCTAACAGTCAATGGATTGTCTCCACACACTACCATTAAATAGCTAACAGTCAATGGATTGTCTCCACACACTATCATTAAATAGCTAACAGTTAATGGATTGTCTCCACACACTACTATAAATAGCTAACAGTCAATGGATTGTCTCCACACACTACCATTAAATAGCTAACAGTCAATGGATTGTCTCCACACACTACCATTAAATAGCTAACAGTCAATGGATTGTCTCCACACACTACCATTAAATAGCTAACAGTCAATGGATTGTCTCCACACACTACCATTAAATAGCTAACAGTCAATGGATTGTCTCCACACATGTGACAATACGCTCGGTGACTCCAGAATGTCTTTCCTCAAACTACTTTTATTTCTTTGTATTTTGAAGCATACGGACAAATAGGGATTTGGATACATCCTTAATCTAAATAAGACTGACCAAGCAGACTTACTGACTGGAGATTTGCACACCATCTGTTGGTGTCAGATATTTTATCTCCTAGCCAGACTTTTAGGAGCAGCTAACTCCGGCTAATTGTGTTTAATTCCCCCTGAGGTTACCTAACTCGACGGCAGGTCCGACGGTCACTATTGACATGGTGAGCAGAAAGTGTTAACAGAAGAATTGACACCGTCTGATTTTATTGTGATGGCAGGTGAAGTAGGCCGGAGGTGTGACTTGTCCTATTTGCTCTGACCAGCTTAATTGAACCAGGAGATCCTAGCATGGGAATTTAAACAAGTACAGCCCTGACTGACAGCGAATAAACTTACCCACAGGGGAGGAGCTGTGATATCCCTGAATGAGAATGATTTTAGGCGTAATGTAGGAGGAGCTTGATAAAAGTTATAAAGGGCTGAACTCTAGGTCTGGTAAATGAGATCCTGTCCAGCACATGCCATTTGTTGGGCTTAACCTAAGCTTGAGACAGAACTTTTGGCATCGTGGTTTCATTTTTCCAGGTAAGATCGAAATTAGGTTCAAATCTATATTTTGTGATAAAAATCTAACTGTTTTTGCTCAAGTGTGTCTTCATTACTTTGTAGTACTCCTAGGCGGACATTTCTTCATTCTCGTAGGGCACTGTCACATTGCTTTATTTC